CATTTCTATATTAATTTATTTACATGATTATTTTTTCTCAAAATACTCTTGAACCCGTTGCTTCTTCATCGCTGGTTCCTTATCTACATCTACCCTATCCTTCAATAAACCAACAACAACTTCTATCACTCGCTTCACATTTCTAAACAACTCCTTTTCTTCTTCCGAACCCTCTTTCAAAGCAGACTCGGTAAATCGGATACTAAGATATTCCGTCTGAAGCGTATAGGATGAAATACCAATCCGTAGCTGTTGTAACGATTCCATAAATATAGTCAAAATCCTCCCCGAAAGCAGTATCTGCCTTACGTTTCTTATTAATCTGCAACGCACTTTCGCATTGGACCAGATTCTGAGCAAAGCCCATGACCACTTGATATAATCTCCCTTCCGTGATGCAAATAAGTTCCTCAAGGGCCTTGACCGCATAATCGACGCGACCGGTATTTTCCTCACCGACAACTTCTAACTGGGGAGCCAAAGTGATCTCCTTTTCTGTTATTCTCTTGACAATATATAGTGAAGCGTGAAGGATGGCTGAAATATATTCACACCGCATGGCTTCGTTGCTATCAGCAAGCAATGTCCCCATATTTCCCAACCTGCGCTTTATTTCCTTTACACATTGTATCAATTCCTCATCATTGTCTTCGAGTGTATATGTTTCTAGAAAGAAGAACGATAAAATTAGCCCGCTCACTAGCATAATAATTCATGAAATAATAATTAATAAGCTGGGAAGACTCACTTTGTGGTAATTGACGGATTGCACCTATCCCATTACCATCAATTCCATATTTTGCTAATACCTCTTTTAAGTCTTTCAGAGTCTTATACGAGGAAAACGAGCGCTTCTTCCTCTCCTTACACTCTTTGGCAAAGTCCGCAAGCCTCGATGCAGGTCCCATTTTCATTCCATGTCTTTCAAGCTTTTCTTCGGTTAACTTGATAAAGTCACGGCCATTAACTTTTTCTTTGCGAATAATTTCCAAGTCATCGTCGTCAAGCTCCAAGTCCTCTTCTTTCTGTAAAAATTCAATAAGAACATGTGTCTTATATTTTTTAATTTCATCCGCTAACGTGAATGACTCGTTTCCAGTTGTGGTGGCACTTGAACGGGTGTACTAGCTTCAGACATAACGAACTTTTGATCGGTTTAGTCAGATGAGCATACTGTATTATTAATGTACCATCGTCTGTCGGGTCACGGGTCACTAATCACTATTTGCGTATATATTATCCTGGGATAATTCGGATTAGTCTAGGTTGATTATTCGGATTACCCGTTATCCTATTTGATAGGATATCCGGATCTTAAAATTTCCTAGTGGGTTATCCTAAATTATTCATAGGATAATCCGGTGAAAAGCTCTACTGAATACGGTTACATGAAACTGAAAAGGACAGACTTTATCTATGAATATGAGAACTTAATAAAAATCCTATATTCATAATGATTTTGTCTACTGGTTCACAATCATATTTCCATGTAGCATTATTTTAATAAATAAAATGGAAAAAGGATAAAAAACTTAAAATAGTTTTAAATGAATTGTGAAAAAACGTTAATTCGTGATCCATGAGTCAATTGCAAAAAATTCATATATGAGGATTTCGGTGCAAATTTATGTTCATTAGTAATTTTTTTCTGATACCCGATTTTCATTCCTTAAATAATGCTCTTTATGTGAACCATTCACAAAGTTTCAAATAGTTTGATTTTTTACTATAATTTTTTCACAATTTTTATAATTTTTTACTTTTATTTGACGCCACGCCAAATTCCCATTTTCTGCAGATCGTTTGCAGTTGACTCGTGAAGGTAAATAAAATAATATTTTGTAAATAGCAATTACTATGCAAAATTAAATTCGATGATACTTTATATTGAAAGCACGAATATTAGAGGGTACAATGCATTAAAAAAGGAAGTCATTTTTGAGTCGATGAAAAATGTATTATAAAAGCGTAATGCTAAATTTAATGTCAAGACCCATCATATCAAGGGTTTTTTTTTAAAAAAATAAAAATTTTCAAAAAATAAGTTCGTTTACAAATTGCCATATAATTATGTCATACACTACTAGAATAATATTTTAAATTCGGAAAATAAAGGAAAATTAACCTCAAACTACAGGTGGTATATGGTGCTGGACTGAACTCACGCTTTAATGGATGACCAGCATCAAGTTCTAAATTTCCTGTCCAAAATAACTTTCCTTTAACAGTACGTGAAATGAAAGGGTTATCATTGGCAAATACAATAGTTTTATTGGTAAAACGAAATCTTTTGGTTTAATTTCTTCACGTAATGAACACACAGCTGAAAATGCTATAATAACTTCTATACCAATATTTTTAAGTAACGCCAAATTTGCTCTTGTTGGAATTTCTGAAAGATTATATTTAATTCACGTTCGTCTTTTAAAAGTTTTGTACAGGGTAGATAACCTAAGTCGATAAAGCATTAAAATATATTATTTTAAATTAGATTTGTTCACCCCAAGTATAGTTTCTTATACTAAATTTCACTTAAATAGCGTCTAAGATAAAAAAAGATTAATTAATTAGATAAATTTTATAAAAAGTCCCATAATACGACGTAGTAAAAAATAGATAAACTTTATAGCAACTTGAAAGAAAAGGAGAATTCTTTCTATTTCTAAAGCTATGAATATAAAAATTTGGTTATTAATGAGTTAATAGACCTAATAAAAAAATTTTATAAATTAAGTATTTTCATATAAATATGTAATGTAATGTCTTAAAATACCATTTTATTGCTTCCCGGAAGTAGGGATTGGAAAAGATTCGATTAAAATCGTATCTATCGAAAATCGACAAGAATCGATTTTAAATCGATTATCGAATAAAAATCGAATCTATTTATTGTGGCGCAGTATCGTTAATAAATGTTTATTAATGACACAAGTTAGCATTTTGCAGTATTAAACAAGGAAGTATTACGTCATTATGTGATGAAGCAGACGAACTCTTTGTTAGAATAATATGTATTACATCATTTGTAATCAAAATATCAAAAATTTTTTTTAAAGTAACTTTTAAAATGTAATGAAATTTTTATTTGCAAACTAAATACTTACACGTTTATAATGATAATAATAATAATTTATTAATTAAAGATACGTTTTATTGATTAAAAATATAAATATTAACAATTTTTATTTATTTATTTATTTATGGAAATAACAGAAATAATGAAAATAAAACGAAGAGAATGTGCAATAACAAAAAGAAGAGTAAGAAACAAAATATAATGAAAAAAATAATGAATGAAGATCAACAAAAGAAGTGAAGGGAAGAACAAAATAAATGAAGAGGAATAAAAAGTAATGAAAGAAACAAAGGTGGAGTAAAAAAAATGAAAGAAGCAAAAGAGAGGTGAAAAAGGGATGAAAAAAACGAAGGGGATAAAAAGGAACGAAAAAAATGAAGGAGTGAAAAGGAATGAAAAAAACGAAGGGAAGCGAAAGGAACAAAAGAAAATGAAGGCCTTTATAACATATTTTCAGCCCACTTAAAGACAGAAAAAAATTTGCCAACTTCTCTGTCAATTTCTAATCATTTGCATACGCGATATAAAACACGGGGAGTGAAAAGGAGTGAAAGCAACGAGGGACGAGCGAAAAGGAACGAAAAAAAATGAAGTGGAGTGAAAAAGAAATGAAAAATTAAGGAAATAAAAGTAACAATGGAAACAAAAGATAAAAAAATAGTAGGGAATAAAAAAATGAAGGAAACCAACCGACCAAATAAAAACCATAAAATAAACGAAATATGATAGACAAAATAAAAAAAATAATAAAAAAAAAATAAAAGAAAGAATACACCGAGAAGAACTAAGGATCTAAAAGAAAACAAAATAAAGTTAGAAAGGAAATGTAAGGAACAAAATATAAGAAACGAAGTGTAAGAGACAAAATAAAAAAAAAACAAAAACTTCAAAAAATCGTGACTATGTAATACTAAACACACCTTAATTGCAAAGAGCAAAAGACTGAAAGGAGTAAGAACTTAAAGAGAATAAAATAAAGTTAGCAAGAAATAAAATATAAAAACAATAAAAGAAAAAAAAAGAAAAACATACCAGCTGAGCGAAGGGTTTAAAGTTGGGAAAGTACTAGAAATAATAAACAAATAAACATTTATTGATGATGATGTAATCGCGTAACCAATCAAAAACGTGGGTGTGATCGGTGAATTTGACATTCTCAAATTATATTACTTTTAATTGAATAAATTCATTAAAATATAAAAATTCTATTATTATAAATAATCTTTTAAGTATAATTATAAATTTGCACCGTAATTTGTATTTTTTGTGAAATATAAATTCGATTAGTTTCGATTATCAAAAATCGAAAATCGAATCTTAAAATCGATATTTGTGAAACGATTAATCGCGATTAATCGATTTTAAAATCGATTCCAATAATGGGAATCGATTCCAATCCCTACCCGGAAGGCCTGAGAATAATTTGGTTAGTGTAGTTGTTGTGTGATTCTAGCGTAGTGTCTTTTTTATTCGTTGTGATCTAAGTGAGATTCAAGTGAGATTCAAGTGAGATCTTGAAGTTAAAGGGTAAAAATACTGGTCTATCTTTGACTAAACTTTTCAAACTCGTAGTATACACGTGTATTTTATTGAAATATTTTAAAAAAATATAGTAGAACTATAAAAATTTAGACCTTAAATATAAGAAACGAAATTTTTTTTTCGTATGAGAATTTTTTTTGTGTGACGTGATCGACAACCATTATGAAAACAGCAATAATAAAAGCACCAAAATCTGACTTTAAAGTCTCTGAATGGACTGAGGTGATAATATTTACTGAAGATGAAAAAATTTATTTATTTATACATATGAAATTATAATTTGAGAAAATATTGCAAGTAGATTTTTTTGCATTTTATCATAAATTATATAATAGAACAACTATTTACAGAACCAAAACCTATAATCATGAATTAAAAAACGAATTTTTTTCCAAAAAAATATTAATTACAAACATGATAAAAAATTTCAATTTTTTTTTCATGCGGATATCATAAATTGAGGTAGTACACTGTTGCTTTATGTAACATTGTAACATTATTTGGGTTACGCATGATCGCATGATCAGCTCAATAAATAGAATTTCGGAGTCATTATTCCGGCTCAGCCTTTCTATTCTTTTTTTTTTTGTTTCAAAATCCATAACAGAAAAATTTATTTTAAAGAAATTAAATCTTTATATATATTTCATGATGTCTTATGGTAAAAATCAATCAGTTAATGCTGCACTTAAAAGAGCAATTGCATTAGTAAATTTAAATATTTGCAATAATATACACAAACAATTTGAATTTGTGCGACAAACACTTCTTGCTGATGATTCACTTACAGAGAATGAAAAATATGAAGCAATAATAATATACACTAATGTTTATGATTCTTGTAAAATTAAGTATAATGAAGGAACAAAAAGAACTTGTGATAATTGTAATCAAGAATGTTTAGCTACATTATATTGTAAACTTTGTGTTCGAAATTATTTAAAAGCAAAATTTTCAAATTGGACATCTGGAAATGATATTATTGATAATTTAATTCAAGAATGCCAAATGAAAGTACTTATGCCAGAGAAAATACCAGAATGGATTCCATATAATAGTTTTAAAAATATTAAATATCTAACAAAAGGTGGATTTTCAGAAATTTATACAGCAAGATGGATTGAAGGATCATATGAAAAATGGAATTCTAAAGCACAAAAATTAAGAAGAATTGAAGAACAAATAGTAGTACTTAAAAAATTAGAAAATGTTGAAAATGCAAATCAAAATTGGTTTGAAGAGGTTTGAATTTAAAATATTTTAAATTTCATTAATAATATCTTATATTTTAATTATATTTTTAATTTATAGGCCAAATCACATTTAAATTTAAGCAATAAACATAATGATATTACCCAATGTTATGGTTTAACACAGGATCCATCAACTGGAAATTATATGCTTGTAATGAACAAATATGATATGGATTTGAGAAAATATTTACAACAAAACCATAAAAAACTTACATGGAAAAAAAGAATTCAAATTGCTTTTGATATAATTATTGCACTATCAAGTATTCATAACGAAAATACAATTCATAGAGATTTGCATTCTGGAAATATATTATTTAAAAGGGGTAGATTCGATATAAGTGACCTTGGATTTTGTGGACCTGCAGATAAACCATTAGAAAGTATATATGGAAATCTTCCTTATATAGCACCTGAGGCTATTATTGGAAAAGAACAGACTTATAAATCTGATATTTATAGTATTGCAATTCTTATGTGGGAAATTTCATCTGGACAACCACCATTTTTTGATTATGAACATGATTATGATCTAATATTGTTAATGGTATAAGACCAAAAATTGTACCAGGAACTGTTTTAGAATACAAAAATCTAATGAAGCAATGTTGGGATGCTGATCCATCAAAAAGACCTGATATTGATACACTTTCAGATAAAATAGATAAGCTTAATCTATTTTATCAAAATAAATCAGATGAACTATTAACTCAACCAGAAGAAAATAATAGTTTCGAAATAGAAAATCATACTAGCAGTAACATATTATCTACAAGTAGACTTCATCATTTTGAAAATCTTCCTGAACCAAGAAATGCAACAGAAGGTATTATATTATGGACCTTGTATTAAATATTTTAAAAGTACTAATATCATACTAAATATAATTAATGATATCTTTTTTTTTTTATTTAAATCAATAGGAGAATTAGAGGGTATGAATTATTTTTAAATTTATTTACCTTTTATAATTATTAAATAGTTAATTATTCTTATAATAAAATTTATAGCATTTTATAGTAAATCATTTGACTTTTGTATTCCTGACAATAGTAAGTATTATTGGATTTATATTATTTTATACTTTAAAATAAAATATTTAATTGATATAACCTTTTTTTTTAGTTGATGATATTGGTAAATCGATTAATAAAGAAAATAGTACATCAGAAATAAGCACTAGATTTAAAGGTAATTTATTAATTCTCATATTTTCCATAAATAAATATTTATTTACAAATCATTTAGTTAATAGTAAAGAGTTATCCAAAATATTTAAAAAGAATTTAAAAAATGACAAAGTAAAATGATTATATTGTTACTTTAATTATTTTAGTGTTAACGTGACATCACTAATTTTTAGATGTTCAAAATGAAGATAAAAGAGAAACAATACAACAACAAATAAATAAATATCATGATAATGTTGATGGTATGTAATTTATTTCATAATAATAGTAATTAATTTTATATTAATATTGTTGTTAATTATAATATATTTTTACAGATGAAGATGAAGTGTATAATAATCCAAATTTCCATTCAGAGGAACAAGATACATTTGAACTTCCTGATAGTAAGAATTTTTTTTGTAGATATTAAATTTTTTAAATAGTTCTTAAATTACTATTAATTATTTTCGTGCTTTTTCCTAGATATTTAAATATAGCGGATTATGAAAAGAATTTATAAATATTATATATTATACTAGTACTATACTTATTATTTATTATATAGTTTTATATTAAATATTATTTAAACACTAAGATTAGAGTACGAAAGATTAGACATCTTTCAAAATTCTCTGTTTGTAATTTAATTAATATTAATAAATTATTGTATAACATTATTTCATGAACATTCCGTCCGTATATATATTTAACGAGTGTAATTTGATAAAATTAATCAAACTGTTGGTTTTTTTGAAATAATAAGTCCAAACCCGCGAAAGTCTAATATTTCTAAAGTCCCAAATGACTTGCAATAATTTTTCTTCGAATCTGTCGCAATTTTTGAACTTTCAACATGTATTATTTGTCAAATCCAACCTATATTTTATTTTCTTGTGAAAATGGTAATTTTGCTACAAAAAAAAAACTTTGACTATAACGATCAACGATCAACGATGACGAACGCTGTTCGTCAAAATGTTTAGAGATCGGCTAAACTTTTAAACAGAAAGGATCTACCTAATTTAATTTACCTTAACCTATTTTATAATTAAGACACGTTTCAAAATTTGCCTATTATATTCGATTACGCTATAATTACTACATTTACCATTTTGTCACTTAATTTGATCAGTTAAATAGTTAAATCCTTCATTTTTACTAATTAGTCTTGCCTAAAAAAGGACTTTTCGTCCGAGTAAGACAGCAAATATAGATTATAACCAGTTTAGATGTTACGAATTTGATTAGTTATTATTATTATTATTAATTTAACAAATTTTTGATTTTTTATTAAAAAAAGGTAATAAAAATTTTTTTTTCATTTTTAAATTTTGTTCAAATTGTTTCAAATTAATATCATAATAATTAATATAAAGACCAATAATATTAAATGAAAATTTTTTAAAATATGAGAAATCTTGATTTTACTCGTGTTATTTGATATATTTGTTATCATATCATAACTGACATCAGAACGCGTATAATGGAATTTATCAGAAAATCCTGACAGTCAAATCTCGAAGTTTTTTTTTTTTTAAAAAAAAATCTTTAAATTAAACGTTTTAAAATGATGTGATACTTAAAAGTTTTATATTCGGCCATTTGAATCGCTAATAAAATTACTATCACAAAAATATTTAAATTAACACAAAATATCTTTTAAAACAATGTGAAAGTTTGCGAACTTGTGGTATCACAAAGAGAATAGAAAATAGTGGATGTTTCAAGCTGATGTATTCTTCATGATGAGCAGCGTCCAAGGCAAAAAAGAGCCTGATTGGTAAAGAAGAATTTGACGATCGGGGAGATCGTGGAATAACATCATACTGTAATTACTGTATACAAACTTTTCTTTATAATTTTGATTTTGAGATTGAGACTTTTAATTATTTTGTTTAAAAAAAAATAATTGAAAATTTATAGATAATTTGCAATATAATTTATTGAATTTCTAAATCATTTGCTTCAATAGTCGTATTAACGTTAAACTTACAAATATTTTGCGTTAATAACTGATAATATTTATTTTGTGTTAATAATGTTAAAAAAATTTATTATTCCGATTTAAAGGAATTATACATATTACAAATTTATTTGAAACCCAAGACTAAATTTCGAAATTTTAAAAGCAAGAATTTTTAACCATCGGATCGTCGTTTAGTCAGGATTTTAAAACTTTCAGGATTTTTAGGGAGACTATGTATGGCGAAGATTATGAATGTCGGTGATTTTTGGGAAATCCCGTATAAAAAGAATAATTAATTAGGTCACACCGATCCGATAATTGTTTAACATAACAAGATTGAGATGGGGGAAGGAATTTAACAAAAAGAATGGCCAGAATTATTGTTAATTTTGGCCCGAATTAAAATGTTATAATTTATTAATTGAACACAAAAAATTATTAATTAGGAAATTTCTTCTAATTTTAACCTAAATTATACATTGAAAAAAAGGGGGTAGGGTTATGTCAAACAAAGTATTGACAGCCTTAAGATGGTATTTACATTATAAATTATACACCAAAGAAAAATTATAATTTATAATATTAATTTACATTCACATAAAATGTTTTTTTTTGTAATTCATTTAATGAAGATCATTGAGAAGAAAACCAGCTGATACAAGTTTCAAAGAAAATGAAAAATAAGATTCACGTGAGAAATAATTAATTTGTTTGTAGAGTATCAAATTTTTTTTCTTTTTTTTTCTTATTTTCTATTTCTTTTTCTAATCTTTTTCTAATTCATATTAATTTTTTTTTAAAAAAAACGAAAATTTTTTAATGAATTTTATCATAATGAATGATATTATAAATGTTATAGATTTACATTTCTGAAACACAACAAAAATTTTTCTGAAATTTCATAATAATCGTAGATCAAATCAAACGATCATTCAAACGATATAAATAATCCTCAAATTTTTCTTAAAATATATACCATCAAAAAAAAAATATATATATAATATATATACATAAAATACTGTGTATTAAGTATATATATTATATTTTTTTATACAAAATTTATATTTATTTAATTATTTATTATTTAGAGCCGCGCTCTAAAAATATTTTATGAAATATTTTTTATCATTCTTTTTTTAAACGATAATTAATCATGAAGTTAAATTTGGTACTTTCCGTTTTTTTCTCGTTTGCTCTTATTCCTCAAGCATTCCCTATGGCTTTGAACTTTGACAAAAGACGTTTCGCACAAGAACATACTGCAAAAGCTGAGGCTACCTACACGGCAGTAAGGAATATATCTTTAGGTACTGGTAAAGAACAACAGGCTGGTGACTTATCTGGTGCAATGGTAAGGGCTCTTTTAGCAAAAGCACCAACTTGTGATCAACAAGATAGAGCTGATGAAATCATTGACCTTGCAATTGAAATTGGAGGAGATAAAAAAGAGAAACTTATTAAAGTTGCCAAAACATATCGTCAACTGGAACGAAATACTCCAAAAGCAGGTCAGCCATCCGAGCTTTGTAAAAAAAAACCAAGGCATAAAGAACTTGATGGATTAGTTCAAGCACAAGACCCAACCGGAAAAGGTAAAGATCCCGATCCTCCTACACATCCTAAACCAAAAGATCCCAAGAAACCAAAAGATCCTGAGAAACCAAAAGATCCTAAAAAACATGAGAAACCGAAAGCAGACCCAGTACAAACTGTAGATGATGATGATGATTGTGATGATGATGATGATGATGATGATGATGATTGTGATTGTGAAGAAGAAGATGATGATTATTGATTATTGAAACCAAAGAAATCAATATTATTAAAAAAAATTGGGATCTATTGTAAATTTTATTAATACATAGCAGTCAAATTCAATTACAAATCAAACCAAATGTTTGTAAATACAAATTGTATAGTAACAAAAGTGAATTAATTTTACTGTTGACTTTATTTTTTCTTAAATCCCTTATTAATAAATATAAAATGCGAGAACAGTGAGAGTACCTTTTATTTATTTACAGATGATGTAGTAGCATTCTTATATACTGTGTAATCCTTAATGTTAATAAAACAAAAGGCGTATTGGCCAATAACGAGATAATTTGTGTAACAGAAGTTTATTTTGATTAAAATAACGTAAATTATAAAAAAAAGGTTATACTTTATAAATCTTTACATATTTCAATTACATAAAATCTTTACTAGTACAAGAATTTGCAGTGATTTAATTCGATATCTGATTAAAGCAAATATACATATATGTCATAATGATATCGACGTAAAATGGCATATTCATAGGTAAATTCATAATTTTTTATTATCAATTTTTTTCTGACAACCTCATAATTTTAAAACCAGCAGATCTCCATTAAATGGATTTTCTAAGAATTGCAGTTTGATCGACAGGAAGTCACGATTGACATATGGTCACAAGAACAAAATTAATGTAGTACAATTTCATACTCTTTAAATTTACCTTGTAAATCATTCACTTTTGACATGTGCATAAAAAAAGCGCGGAAAAGTCCCTTATACAAAATATTTACTAATTCCTTTTTTATTTGAAGAAATTATCAAGGGTTGTAATAATTTATTATTTCAGTATTACGGGCTATTACCTTGTTTATACTTCATGCGCGTAATTTACTCTGATCGTCTGATGAACGCCACCAAAATGTTGAAAAATTTTGTGATGTTGTCGTTTTATGCCAAAGAACCAATTTAATGAAATTCATGATTATTTATGAATTTTCGTGCGATATTTTCTGAATTTATTTACAAGAAACTAAATATTCGCCTAAATTATTTAATATATATGGGTTTATTTATTTATTGTGGGAATATTAAATTGAAGAATTTTCAAGGTTCGAATTTAAATTATTCACGATAAATTAAATATTCACAAATATTGTAATTAAATTTTTCATATTTCACTCTGAATTTTTATATCCAATCAATAATTTTTAAAATTGTTTATCAACATGAAATCATATTATCGATTTTTTTTAGATCACAAACAGATTCTGAAAATTCATGGATTTACGAAATCTTTTGATTTGAAAAAATTTGTGGATCATAAATTCTATTTAATAGTCTTTTTAATATGGATAAACTTATTGATTAAAATAATGCCTTTGTTCAACAAATATTATGATCCAACAAATGGGTAAATAAGATACTACAAATTTGGAGAAGGTATTATATAAATTTATTCTGTTTAATTAGATTTTACGATATTGAAGCTATAGATTTCTTTGCAAGGTATTAAATTAAATAATCATCTTAACGCCAAAATTTAGTTTATAATCTCCTGGGAATTCCTAATATGGAATTCATAATATGAGTCTAATAATAAAATGAGTTAACAAATTTATTTGCACCGTTGTTGAAATGATCAATTGTGGACATACAATGATGAATAAATGAATAATAACTAATTTAATGTTCTACCACATAAAATTTTACGTTATGGGCACAAAATAATAATAATAATAATAATAATAATTGTCCGGAGTGTAGCGAAGGACATTCTATTGTTATGCACTAGACGTCTATCATTCAAAAAATACTTTTAGTAATCGAAAGTAATTTATATAAACTAGTAGTAACTACATTGGGCCGATGCTTTGTAGTCATGATGCAAAACTATTAAAGTTAGATTTTAAAAATTTATGGTGCACAAAAAATAAGAATTATTTCATTTAGATATTAAAATTTTGAAAATTTAAAAATGATTCAGAATAAGCTGTTTTGATTGAGTATCATTCAATGAGTTTCCAGGGTTTCACTCCCAAAAGTATTTGAGTATGATGGTTCATCATACTATATAGTATGTTATAATAATTTTGTCTAGTAAAATTTCAAAATATAAAATTGAAATTAAATAAATAAATGTTTAATGCTTAATTAAAAAGTAAATTACAAAAAATAAGATTTATTGCAAAGTCTCAAATCTAATATTAATTTAGAACCAGAGCGAACTTAAGAATATGTAATCTAACTACGTGGAGACATCAACATTGTAACAACTCAATATTATTTAACATAAAGAAAACCCATTGATTTTAAAAGCAAAAACAAAAGATAAGCAAATAAATATGAGCATAATTAAAGATAATTTAAAATTAGTTTGGTGTCCAGGAAATGAAAAACATACTAATATCAATTAATTAAATGGTAATGCCACCATGTTAATAACAATATATGGATTTAAACTATTTATTGATTGTACGTTATATGAAAACGTTATTCAACTTTATGAAATGGATTATTTGAAAAATTTTGCAAATATACTTGATATAGAGTTATTTGATCTTAAATAATAACTTTCTCTATATCTGAACACACTATTCTGACTACGCTTTGTTTCATCTTTAATTTTTTTTAGAGTATGACCATTAATTGGTAGATTGTACAATTGCTGTTCAAGCTTGGATAGATCGTTTGGTGATATGGTAGGCATGAATGGATCATTATTTTCAATTGCTTTTTTAATAACCTCAATTTGTTCCAAATAACTTCTTTTTGTAGCTTCAAGTCCCTTGAGAATTTCGTCATCATAGCGATTAGGATCGGCACTCTTTTTAATTTTTTCTTCATTTATGAAATGATCCAAGTAATCTGCGTATGCATCATTAAAAGCAGCTATTGCATTTTGTCTTAGAAATTGTGCAAACTTCAGACTAATTTCATTTATTGTATGTTGTTCTGTTTGCAGTTGATTTACCCTTTTTTGATAATCCTCTATAATTGCTTTTTTGATTTCTTGATCTGATTTCTTTTTTGAAATCTGCAACTCTACATTTTGGTCGACAATTTTTTTTACTACTTTTACATTCTCGTATGTAATATGTATATGCTTATCCCATTTACAATCACAATAATTACATGTTCCTACTGGATTCATAGCAGCGCATCCTCTTAGTGCTGGGGTGTTTACTTCATTGCATTTGACATTTTTCAAACAATAACAACGGTCGTGACAGTGTGTTATATAATTTACCTTGCTAATATTAGTTTGTTCAATTTGCGATGATTCGACACAACTAATGCTGGTACATACAGTTCTTGGATACCCTAATGTTACCGGTTCGAGATCTATTTGTGGAATGTACAGATTTTCTTTAAGCTCTTCTATAGTCTTAACAGAATTTTTTATTTCATTTTGTTGTTCCTTAATAAACTTAATATTTGTTTGAATAAGTTGTCCTATCTCTGCAAGTGGTTTAGAAAGAAGGACTAGTATATTTCTAGAGCTATTTAGCAACAGAGTATCTTTTACCGCATGAGGTGGGCGGGTCACAAGATACTGAATAAGTCTTAATGATTCATCCACAGACTTTTTCCAACTTTCTGCAAAGTTTTGTTCATCTCCATCCGTAAATGATATATCTTTCTTTATTGCTGCTAGAAATCTAAATGATTCGTTATCAAAACAATATACAGTATCATGATTGACCTTTATTTCAACACTAGATCGTTCTTTGAGATCTCCAAGTTGTTTTTTAAGTGGTGGTAATGTATCTCCTGGACGGTAGTAAGTTCCTCTAGTATTGGTAAAACAGAAGACAATATTATCCTTTGCATTTCTGTGAAGGTGTAATAACAATTCCTGTATGCAAAATCTAAACACTATATTAAGTCGTGAATTGTTGGGCTTGAGAAGTATACATATCCCATTTAGGTATCGGTGATAACTAATATATTTAAGGATATTTTCAAAATTTTTTTTATCTTGATCCAACGCTCTAGTATCACCTATACCCGGAGTATCAATCAATCTTACAATTTTATTTTCAGCTGCTTGGAAGACGTAGCTTTTACATTCTTGAGTTGATGACATTCCTACATTTTGTACTTGCTCATTTGGATCATCATTGCCTATTTTTATTGTTTGAGTATCATAATTTTCATCTGTTAATGTAAACTTAGATGATATTAGTACTTCCATGTTCCCAGATTTTGCTTCATTTAATGTATCGAATCTTAGATAGTTTACAAAAGCATTTATGAACGTGGATTTTCCTACGCCAGTCTCACCAAGTAATAATATATTTATTTCTTCTGGAGGCTCCGACGGTAGCAGTGTGGTAAGTGTGTTGAATTTAAAAGATACAAATCCTTCATTATGATCAGGATCATTGCATTTGAATTTGCAATTGCTGATACTACTTTCACCACATCCACAGTATAAATGCCAGTTATATCCATATTCAACGTCATGCTGACATTTGAAACATCTCCAATTACAAAATGTAGAACAATTAACTCGGGGACAAGGTACTAGTAACCGCGCCTTCTCAATAGGATTATTTTTTGGTTTGAAATGTGGTTGAGGATCGAATTTAATAAGATTTGATGTAAATAACATTTTATTGGCATTGTAATAGTCATTACTTTCTAATCTTCCATTGACATAATGATGAATTACTGGATAACCAGGACCTTTTATATTGGGACATATTTTAGGGTCAACTACAAAGAACTTACTTGACTTCTCATTTAACTCACATAAATCTCTAAATACCATATGAACTGGTGACAAATTACCAACAACTATATCTTCATCAATAAGTATGTAGATATGACCTTTTGGACTTCTACGCAGAATATGTTCAATAGACGAATCCTTATCAAGATACTCTACATTTTTGGCTTTAAGAGTAAGAACTAAGTCAGCCTTCGTAGATACTGGAAGCATCTTCTCATTAGGATTAGGTTTTGTTCTTAAATTGGATACATCAGATTTAACAAGATTTGATACAATATTATTATTATTATTATAGTCATTACTTTCTAAGCTTCCATCGATATGATGAACAACCGGACGACCAGGACTTTTTATTTCGGGACATTTTTTAGGATCAGCTACAATCGACTTCTCATTTGAATTAACACTATGCACTGGTGACGAATTAATGTCAACAATATCTTGATCAATAAGTTTGTAGATATGATTTATTGAATTCCTACGCAGAATATGCTCAATAGTCGAATTCTTGTCAAGATGCTCTACTTTTTTTGTTTTAAGAGCAAGTACCAAGTCAGCTTTTGTAGATACTGATCGATATCGATCAATGAAATCCATAATAGAACTTTTAGATAAGATTCCTTTCTGAAACTTCTTCATTATGCTCTCAAGCTCATCAATATTACTTTTTCCAGAACGTATTTTAACAAGACTTTCCGCGAATTCCTTTCTAAATTTCGCCTCCTCCAATCTGAATTCTTGTACATAATTATTAATCTCATCAAAAATATTATCAGGTATGAGATTAGAGATAGATTTTGCATCATTAAATAAATCATTGAGTCTTTGTTTTGGTTTCAATAAACCATCAAAAAACTGCTCTATCTTTAAGACAATTACTTTGTTCAATTCCCTTATCATACTATTAACTATGGTATTCTGAGTACTAAGTACAGGTTTCGCAAGTCCTGATATAGGATAAAGAATATATTCAACTGGAAACCCTTTCCCATTATTAAATTTTATAACATATGAAGGAAGCTCTGTCATGACTTTCTTTGCTTCATCAAAAGATTGAGGAAATTTCTTATTATATGGAACAGCATCACCAAGAAACGTTATAGAAAAATAATTCATAAGGTTAGGTTGATCCTTTTCAGCATTTACGTTATCATTTTCAGAGGTAGAAAGTGATAATTTTTCAAAATAAGACTTAAGCGCTGCTTCAATTTGGTACTTGTCATCTTCATTCATGTTTTTACATTCAAATGATGCTATTACAATAGCCCCCCATTTTATTCCTATCACGACGTGAGTGGCATCTGTGTTACTGAATCCGTCAGTAGAAATACATGCTTTAACATCATCACGATAAATATTTAAACTTTCTTCAACTGTAATCATCCTGTATATTAAATTGCCTTTCACAGTTCTGAAACTATCCTTTACATCGCTTAAATACTTTCCTGAACCCTCTAAAGTAGTTAGTCCTGCGATAACGCTTAATTTTAGCTCAGCTTCAACGTCTAACTTATTAAATTTTTCTACATATGAATCCTCATACTCATAGAATAATTCGCTATTGGGTATGTCAATTTGACTTAATGAACCATTTGGAAACTTTGCTTTCAATATCGCAGTTCCACAGAATGTATCTCTCATAGCATTATACAGAGAACCAATAAGTGCGGCTCTCCCAAGTGACTTTCGTCGTATAACTTTATTTGCAGTATCCATCATTAGAAAGCTAAGTTTGGATGGTCTGATTGCGACACAGAATGTGAAAATTAAGTCATTTTAAACGGTTTTCTCTTGTTGTGTATCATGTAACCTTACACCAAATCAAAGTTTATGCCTTTTTGGGAAGAAATAATGATCGACGAATTTCAAAAGTTTGATTATATGTATATATATTTTAACTGCGCATAATATTTTCTATTTTTCAACTAAGCTAGAAATTAACAATTTTAAATTTGACACTATTACCGATTGGATGTTTTTACTTTTTGTTAATAAAAGATCTGCGATGAAATTATTATTATTTTTTATTTATTTATTTTTGATACTTTAATTGATTAACATTCCTTATATTCTAAATGATTAGCTTTATATTTGCTAATTACCAAATATTCTATATTGTCTGTAGAGGTTGGAACCGGTTAATGTAAACCGGTTAAAGTTTCTTAAACATCAGTTAATCGGTTAATCTAAATTGATCATGATTCTGGCCAGATTTATCATTTTTATTTATTTATTAATAACAGTACAGTATCGCTAAATATACTGTATATGTGAAATCAAAAATCGAATTTACAGCCAAAAGAAAAAAAAAATTTTTTTAATATTAACCGGATAATTACCGGTGCAGAAAAAAGAGAAATTATAATTTGTGATTTTATTTATGTTTACGTGAGTGGACTGACCACAAATTTTTATAGTGTGTAGAAAAATATATTGCTCTTCGGACAATAATAATAAAAAATCAGTCCATTTTGGATGCATCAAATTTCTTTCAATATTATAAGAATTAAACGCACAAATAAAATAAAATTATATTTATGGACGTAATATGATTTCTTTCTCTCTGATGAAATAACTTATTCAGAATAAATCTTTTGATAAATCGAGATTAAACTAATTTATTATGAAATATTTGGAAATTTTCGATTTTTTGATGCTTCAATTCATTGTATTAAAAAAGCAAGAGAATGGAGAAATTATAAATTTGAGAATTAAGGATAATGATGATGATTGGAATATCAAAAGGAAGAAAATTAAATTAAAAATTCGCAAAATAAAAAAAAATCTAGTGGGATTTATTCACTTTAATATATTATTTAGCGAAGTTTCTTTTTTTATTAATTACATTATTAATTATAATACGTTTTAGACTTTAGCATAAGAAAAAATTATTTGTACAGTAATTATAAAATTAAGCGTTAAAGAATTAAAATGAAAAAAATTATTATGAACATTTTATTTATACGTTTCTTCCTTTATCAATTTGTTTAATTCGTTTATATTTTATTCTTTTTTTTTTTTGTTCTTTTCAAGATTATTAATATCGACATGTCGTGTAAAACGGTGTAATTGCAATAGCTAATTATTATCATATCAATTTATGATAAGCTTAATATTAATAATTATTATCATATAAATTATGTTCAAGTTTATTATACTTAAAATGAAAGATTAAGCTAACTGGATCGCTGGAGTTTTTTTGTATGCAAAACTGTGAGACAAATTTTAGATATCGCGTCGCGTCCGCTTTTTATAATACGACAATGATGATTCGCTATTTTTTCTAAATTCTTAATAGTGTATTATTAAAACCTGCTGGAATCAAGTATTGTTAAACAAAATTTTATAGATTTCAAATTAAGGTCCGTGTGAAAATTTCAAATTCATCTATAAAGGAATGAACCTTCATAGTTTAAAATAAATAAGGATATTATACATGATGTGCTTGCATCTATATATTATAAACCGCTCTATTTTTACACGGCAAATATGAACTCGAATTTTACTAATTTTTTTCGCACTCACAAAATCAAAAAATTTGCTAATAAATTATTATTCCTCCTGGTTTCCAGTTATTTTCTATTACTATGCGTAATACGGTTTATATTATTATCTTTTTTCTTTTTTTTCAACATAATATAAAAGAAATATGTTTATTTGTTAAAATTATCACTTATTTGAATTTAATAAAATATAAGGCTCATTTTCAAAATGAAATTACAAGGAAATCCACTAAAAAAATACTGGGTTTTAATTAAATATAAAAAACAATTAAAGTGTACGTATTACCTGTCACACAATCTAGAATTTAATTCTGGCCGGTATAATTATTATAGACAAATAGAAAGAATGGATAATTTATACTTTTTTAATACAAATATATTAGTTACAAGCATAATAAAAGATTTTAAATTATAAAAAAAAAGCTCTTTCCTTCGATCACTTGACCAAAAATTTTATGGTCAAAAAAATGACACAAATTTTTATTATTTTGAGTCTCTCCTTTATTAAAACCGAGTTTTGTCATTTTTTTCATTATATATATTTTTTGAATTTTTTTTTTTTTTTTTTTNTTAGTCGAGATATTGACCAAAAAACGTTTTACTCAAATAATTGAAATATTTTGGAAAAACGATAAAAAGCCCAAGTTTTTTTTTAATAAAAATTAGTTCAACAAGAGCGTTAAATGTCAGTATGATAGTGCTCTTATTCAACTTTTTATGGAATATATGACAAGGTTTTGAAAAGAAATTTTAAACTTTTGAAAATTGCTGCGGGTGGCGAAGTAAAGATGATACTCACATTACGTCATTACGAGTGCAAATAGCTGGTCCGGAATGTGTGACAGGTTACGCCGAATATATTAGCTTTAGAGTAAGGGGTGATGGTTAGCGGTTTTTAGCGTCACATGATCACGTGCAAGCCCGAAGTTCAAAAACACTATTTATCTGAGTGACAGTTTTTTTTAGTGGTCCAAAACTTATTTGTCACCTGTTATTTGTCACCGAATTCGGCGTAACCTGTCACACATTTCGGACGTGCCTACAAATAAGAAAGTGGTTAAATAGATAGTGTACCGGAAGTAGCAAATTTTGTACACTCCACCTTGCAGATAGTTTGCAGATCCTTACTTAGATCAAGGATGATAAGAACGGAAATAATTTAATATTCCAAAAAGATTCTATTGCCAAGTGAGAGACTTTTTCTGGAAGGATGGTAATACTTGTAGTTTTTTTAAAATTATAGTTAAACAGAAACGTTTGGAATTTTGTATTAGCTAGTATGTGGCGTATGTAGTGTTTTTTTACATCTACAGTACATCGTTAAGAAGTGTAACATTTGCTTAGATTTTTAATAAAGAGAGAAATTTTTTTTTAAAAAAAAGATTTTAAACCATCAAAAAAATAATTTATATAATGACAAACCTTTTTTTTTCTTTCTTTTGTACATGTCATGCATATTATAAATTTAGGTAGTACAATGCAATGTTTGCTTTATGTACTGTAACATTCGCTTTGGTTACACATTACTATTTTAATATGTATAACTTCGGAGTTAAAAACACCGGTTTCAACCTTTTCTTTTTTTTTTTAATAAATATATTTTTATAAGAATTTAAAGCCTTATAACATATTTCATTATGTCATTTGGTGAAAATGAAAAAATTAATAATGCGATTATTAGATCATATGCATTAATGGATTCAAATATTCGTAATGATACACACAAAAGTTATGTATTTAGTAAACAAATAATTCATGATGATGAATCACTTACGGAAAATGAAAAATCTGAAGCAATAACATTACTAACTAAACACTATGATCTTAATAAACTTCTTTACAGAAACCTGGTGTTTTGCGACTTAGCAGTCATGAGTTCGTCACCCAATATTTTCAAATTCGTATCTATCTTTCGATGACATATTTTGCTAAGTTTTCGATAACATTCTGATAAAGTTTTGACGAAAACTAGTCTTGAAATAGTGGTAAGCTCGAATAATAATCTTTAAAAGATAGCAAATAACATCGAACATCAGTCAGAATATATTAATCAAGACATTTGTGCGACGTATCTGCGAGTATACAACGATGAGTCAAAGATGTTAAAAATATTTTTTTTTTTTTGTTTTGTATTTATAATTTTTTATTTATTTTATTTTATTTTATTTATTTTTTTCGAAGTGTTAAAATACTTTAAATTTTCTAAATGTATTTGGTCTTGTAGGATATCATAAAATACATACAATACATTAATTGTAACTAATATTAATTTATTAACATGTACAATTGTAAAATTTAACCGTAAAATATAATATAAATTTATTTATAAAATACAGTACATTGCAAATACATTATCTAATGTTCCAATGTTTTTCTTATTATAATTGGATAGCCGCGGATTTTTAAGCGATCAACGTACTAAAAATTTCCGTTGACATAGCGCCCCTGGTGACACAACTATAATAAGGTGGGAACCTGATTTGGTCAATAGTATCACCTGATTGATCCGTACTCACC